TTTTCTGTCCAGCCTCTTTCATGGTTGTTCCCATTGGGTCGTTTGCAATAAATTCGTAGCTTCTGTAAATACCAGCAGCTGGGTGACCGCCAACCTCTGTGACCCCTGGCCATTGGGATCAACACACAGTTCCTCTCACTCAAACTGCCTGAGGAGGACATGTCAAACTAGACTCAATATTCACACTACTTAACATGATGCTTAGCACAGAGAAGACATGGGGTGAGCTTTGACTAAATTAATCCATGGCCACAGGAAATCAGCCCGGTCACTCCTCCAGAGTGCCAGGAGGGAAACCCCAGAAAAATCCCTCCCATTGTGTTCACAGTTACCTTTTGTTTCCCACTGTAAATTTGACCGAGAATTTCCTGAATTGAGTAATGCATTGGTCTCTTGTGGAGTAAATTAGAAAATATAACACTGAAATGTGTATTTGTGTGAGGAGTAGCAGCAGTAGGAATAGTAATAGTAAGAATAGTAGTAATCGTCATCATAGTAGTGGCCAGCCTCTACATTTTAGGTGATATTACCTGCTTCAAAACACTGAATAGCTGAGTGATTCAGGGGATTATCTTAAACTCCTTATCTCTCAACTTCCAAACCTGTCCAACACAATGACTAGCTTGTTATATTATTGTGAGGATCATATTTAACTGCGATCTTTTACCTTGGCACTTGTAGCAGCTAAAGTGTTAAAACGCCTGAGGGACTGTGGTAGTTACCTAACTTCTTGTCGACTTGATGATATATAAAAGTGTCGGGTTGGTATTCAACCTGTCAGTCAAGTCACAGCATGATGGTGCCTCCTTGTGGGCGTGGCCTTCTCATAAGGAAGGCCCCGGGAACCTCCTCTTCTCTCTCTCTCTGCCTCCACCTTCCTGCTAGTGGACCCTGGTGGCTGCCAAGGCCCTGGATACGTCCTCCACCATTAGGAACACGACGACGCAGCACCCACCAACCTGTGATCTTCCTGCGTTCTGCATCGTTGCTTGTGACTGCGTGAGTCTGAAGAGGGACTTATGGACTTGTATCAGACTTACGGACTTGAGTTGGACTGGATGGGACGTTTTCCTGATATATAATTACTTCTTCATACAAAGAGCATTCTTACACATATATGAATGTCACTGGGGCACCTACTGGTCTCTCCCTAGCTGGAAGTTAGAAGAGTGATGGAATCGAAGCCCCATGGAAAGCATTGGTTCAATAGACGAACGGACCATGAAAACATCAGTCTCTATGACCCTAGGACCAGGAGAACCAGACGGTGCCGTTACCGCTATCAACGATTCTGAAGAGGATCGCATTAGAAGATTCTGACTGAGCAAGATAAAAGTGGAGAATCAACCTCGAAATCATGAAAAATGACCAGGCTTCTAGATGAAGCTTCAGGTGAATCCCCTTTGATCATGGGGATGTGACTAGCCTCGTGATCAGACAGAGAGCATTGTAGAGTTGATGATGGCAGATACATTTAGGTTAAAATGCAATATCGTTTGGTCTCTCTTTTGACCTATTTTAAAGTTGTTTCCACTTTAAAGAAAACAAAGTCCAGGGGAAATACTGTGGCTTATGCCTCCAGTGAATTCCCTTTGAGCATGGCTCAGAGATGTGACTCGCCTTGCTCTCATGCAGAGAGCATTGGAAAGTGGATGATAGCAGATGTGGACAGGTTAAAATATAACCTTTTATCATTTGATCTCCATTTTGACACATTTTAAATTTGTTCCAGCTTTTAATATTTTCTTCTTTCTCTTCAATGGAGGTTTTTCCTCTGTTTTATTTTGTTATTGTTGCTAGTTTTGAGTTTAAAAAAATGTTTTTCTGTATATAAAATCCAGAGGAGGTAAATCTGCAGAGACCGTGACTGGACTAAAGGTTTCTTAGGGTTATGGCAGAGGAGGCTGGGGGAAGTGGGTAGCTAATAACAATGAGTACAAGAAAGAAGAACATGCTCTAACATTGATTGTTAATGCTTCTTGCAATGATTGAACACTGATTGTACATGTGGATTGTGGACCAATAAAACTGTTTTGAAAAAGAAGGAAGAAAATGTTCTAAAATTGATTACGCAATGAATGTTAACTCTTCTTGATATAGTTGACCCATTGAATTGCATGATGTGTAGATTAGGTGCTAACAATTTTTTCCCTGAAGACCAGGGTTACTGGTCAGATAGAGACAGGTAGAATCCAGAGACTATGGCTGTTAGTCACCTGCAGAAATGAGCTCACCCCAATGGCTCAATTTTCAGTCAAACAATACACAGGACTCCTGGGGAAAAACAACGCTAATGAGGTACGCACACCTTAGAATAGTCAACCACTTGAGATCATAAGGGCAGCATTTGCCCAAGGACAAAGTTCAGACAGGTCAGGAAAGAAGGGAGAATGGAAACAAGAAACATGGGAGAAAATAGAATGAATATGTTAAGTTATATTGTGGGGGTTGAAATCAATGAGATGAAGCACAGTGTGTACAGATTGTTGAATGGATCACTGATCTGCCCTGTAAACCTTCCCCCGATTCACAATGAAAAGTTAAAAAAATTAATTAGGATACAGCTCAGATGTAAACATTTTAAAACTAAAAGGCTACCTTTTCTCTCCAGTTAGGGCAAACATGGTCCAAGCCTTCAGAGAATCGAGCCAGCAGGCAGTGTTTTTGAACACCTGCACCAAGTCTTGCTCTCTGAAACAACTAAAGGGGAGGTAAAAGCAACTGGGGAGTATCTCAAGGGGTCAGCACCCTGCTCTTTCTTGGATATGCTATGAGAAGAGATTAGTCCCTAGAGAAAGATCATGCTTGATAAAGTCAAAGGTCAGCAAGAAGAAGCAAGACCCTCAACAAGATGGACTGGCACAACAGGTGCGAAAAATGAGCTCCAACGTAGGAACGATTGTGAGGATGGTGCAGATAGAGCAGTGTTTCTTCCTGTTGTACGTAAGGCCGTATGAGTTGGAATCATCATCATCAATAACAACAACAGATTCATTGCACTACTCCACAATCCGATACAACACTCAGTGGTGGGATTTTCATTTCCAATGGACTATGAAGGAAATCGAGTCCCAGGCTGTTTGAACAATGTCTCAAGGTCACACTGCTGGTGAAGAATGAAGTAGAGGGTAAGACAGGCAATAGAAGAGCAGATAGGCTTTGCCACTGAGTTGGAAAGAGGATCGGAGGAATGTCAATGGCCCACCATGCGCCCCTGGAAGCAGAAATTTCCTCTTCTTGGTCCTTTGCTTGTGGGTGATCAGCAGCTTTTGGGTGCCAGTCAGTGAAGTCTGCCTTTTAGACTTTGATAAAGCACTGCAGGAATTCAGAATTGATCTAGGACCAACAGCTTCCCCCCGACCCTGTTTCACTGGCTAGTTTTATGATGCCAGATTTGCTGGGGCTCGCTGATTTTACTGAGGAAGTATTTTGACTCACTTTCTTAAAATGAATGTGAATGTCTTGAACTGACCAATGCTGTGTTCTATAGTCCCCCCCCCCCTACCGCCCATAATAAAATAAAGGAAAATGAAAACATTGTAATCTTTTGCTGAGAGCACTTGGGCATCTTGGTGACTGCCCATTGATGGACCCAAAATGAAACAGATAATTTTTCTCACTCCTCATGAGGCATATAGGCTTGCTGTTCTCCATCTAATGGGCCCTCTGCTCTTCACCATCCCAGTCAGTCTGTATTTACTCATTGCCGTTTCCCAGAGAAAAGAGAGGGGAAGGCAGAAAGCATCAGCTTGTGTAACAAAATGATACAAGGGAAAGCAAGTCAAGATTCAGCAAACTCAACCATCCCAGACCCCCCGACACACACCCCGAGTGAGGGAGCGGTCACCAAAGCCCAGTGGGGCTCAGCCTCCTGTAGTTCAGGAGTCAGGTGAAGGGATCAGGGGAAGAAGAGACAAGTATACACTCTGCTGCCCTTCCTCCTCTGCTCCCTCACTCCCCATGGACTCAACATTTTACACAAAGTTTGAGTTTTAGCAATAAACATGGAGTTACATTCATTTGTCTCCTATTAAAACCATCTCATGGCTACTTGGACATAAGTTTCTTGCATCTGCAAAAAATTCCTGAGGGACTTAGAAATACATTTTGTCTTCCCCTTCTTGGTCTCCCATCAACGTTCTATGGGGGGAAGTCCCCCCATTGCTTCGCTCTTCCCCTGTAAGTGGAGAGTAGCTTTGGTCCATGAAAAAGCTAGTGAGAACTGGTCTTCACTCTGAAGTTTGGAAATGAGAGATGAGCTGTTCCTAGCCTCTTTGGGGTTTTTGAAAAACATGTACAAAATTGTGGAGACACCACCCCCCAAGTTAAATGTGCATATACGTGGGTTGGGGGACAGGAGTTCTGAGGAGGCGGTAGGGTGGGAGCGAAACGTTTTTTAGGCTAGATCTAACTGAAGAGAAGCAGCAGAGGAAGGGACCCTGGGATGCTGTGCTGAGCGTGCTAACGGGAACATACATGCGTCCGGCTGTTTCCAGCCGTTTGGAAATGGAAAGTCAACCCATTTCAAGTGAAAAGATCATGGTCCTGGTTCTGAGTGTCGCCCACTTGCCCCACATCCTGTCCTTCTCCTGTGGCACCTCTTAAATCACCTGCTGTGGTGGCTGAAACCGCTTCGGGAAGGTTTTAACTCTGGGCTTTTATTTTCATTTATATAACTAGCACAGATCCACCACACCAAGGGCATTCAGTGACAAATAGTCTCACTGTCCCCCACCCCCGACCCCAGTGCCCTGCACTTCCTCTCCAGAGGAGACCACCCTGACTGTGTGTCCTTTTGGACAGTTACCCAAAAGCTGACGAGAATTGGAGGCCCTGGCTCTGGAATGTGCATGCAGCTACTACCAAAAGGCCATAGGCACCCATCTCTCCTGACGCTCCTCATTCCAATCACCCCCCTGAGGGTCCGCACCAGAGGTACAGAGAAGCACAAGACGGTCTTGACTGTCACGGAGTTCATAACGGGGTACAGGAAGACTCACCTGTGAGGTGAACAGGACGCAGAGCGCTCTGTTTGGGGCCATGATGCCCCCTTGGTCCTGCCACACACACCATCTTATCGCACATGTCTGGCTTCTCCAGCTGTAGCTGCTGGGCTTTGAGGCCTCCATGGAACAGCTTCAGGGTGGAAAGGGAACTCTTTTCCCCCCAATTCCCCAACAGAACCCCAGAGGTCCACCCCCATAGCTGGTGACCCTTTGCCCAAAGCCTACCTCATGGACCTTTTCCTTCCAAAGCACTTGGAATTCCCAGCCTAGCATCATTACACCGGCAGCGACCTTGGAGAGTAGCCCACCTTCTCTCCAGCTTCCTCCTTCCACACATCCCATCCTAATCATAGAGACTTCTGACCTGGGGGGGGAGGGTCATGTCAGTGACAGGTGTTCCCCTCCCCAGGGCAGCCTTTTTGGGGTCATATAACCCAAATAGTTAGAAGTAACTGTGCTATGTCCCCCACTGACTGCTCCCAGCCCAGGATCCAGCCTGTGGCACCAGCATGGTGGAAAGCCCCTGAACTTATGAAGACGAAAGTAGGGACATTGATGATTTACCAGAAAAAGCAGTGAAGTGGCCAGCATGGGGCAACAATCAAACATCGCATGCTTGCTTCCAGTTTTATTATTTTTAAAATGTTACGATTTTCCCCCCCCTGAGTGGATGCCACTTACAAGCAAATCTCTAGGGCAAAGAAGAGCTGCTCCACCGGGTTCCAAGGCTTTTTGTGAAGATTTCCAATCTCGGACACCTGTGCAGCAGTTCTGCCCTGCCATGCAGGCCTGATCGGGTTAGCGTCGTCTCAACGGCAGTGAGTTTGGCTTTTTGGTTGGATGGGGTGGGGAGGGTCACAGAGTCTCGACCTTTAGAGATTCAGGACTTGAAAAGAGCTTAACCTTGACCCTGTAGCTCTACTTGTACTCTCTGCATTTATTTGGGGAAATCTCCTCCCCCAGACAGCCCTCCTGTGTGTACATTGTCACCCTCGGTTCTTAGGCTCACCTTTGTTTCAGTTTGTCTGCCTCCAGGAAGCCCAATCTGAGCAAGCCGGGGAGGACCGGGCTGTCCTCTCCCACTTCCTCCCTCTGTGCATCTTCCCATGGGGTGTCTTTTTTTGTTTTTTTAATTTTTTTTCCCATGGGGTGTCTTGAGCCAAGTGTTCCAAGTTAACGATCTCGGCTAAGTAGGTGCCTACGAGGTTGCCACGGGGCCAATGAGAACTGCCTTTATTTCATGGCTGGGCCTTGAGCTTCCACCCACCTGTTCCTCCTTGTATTTTGCCAGTCTAGAAGGTTAAGGATCCCACCTTCAGCCTCATGACATAGCCCCAATGAGCAGGGCCCCTCACCCAGCTGCTCTAGCAGAATGGGGCTGGAGTTCGGAGTCGGAACGAGGGTGTGGGAGGGCGTCACTAGGCGTCCTTCACAGCCCCTGGGGTTCATGAATACTGGGACCTGTGCCAATCTGTGTAATCTGATGTCAATTTGAGAGGATTACGAGTGAAGGGGTGGAGTCTGGCCCGTCAATCAAGATATAACCAATCAGGCCTCTGTGTGGGCATGGCCTTCTCCTGAGAATTCTGGGAACTCCTGTATTTTCCTCCTTGGAGATGGGAGACACTTTCTCTGCTCACTCCCTTGGAGACACTCTACTGACAAGACACACTGCGCTGCGCGGATAGAGCCCATGCCCTGGAAGCTGAAGGAGCCACGTGAAGACCCCGGCCAGTGCTGAGATGCCTCTACCACCACTGGGTCCACAAGACTTTGCATCCACTGACCTGTGATCTTCCTGCATTTGGCATCATTGCATGTGTTTCATGAGACTGAAGAGGACTTGATAGATTGGTATCAGACATATGGGCTAATATTGGACTTATGGACTTGATCTGGACTGGGACATTTTCTTAATATGCATTTACTCTTTGATATAAAGCTCTCTCTTACATAAGGTATAACAGTGTCCTGGATTTGTTTCTCTAGTCAACCCAGACTCACAGACTCTTATTACTAAATAGGGCACACAGAGGGAGGGCTCTGGAGGGCAGGAGGACTGAAGGGAACAGGAAGTGGTCACAGGGATTCAACCACAGCGCCTTTTCCTGAGTGCTATCCGTCGAGAGTGACACAACCTTTGGGGAAAGTCACTGTGCTGAGGTGGGGGTGGGGGTGGGGGCGTGGGTTGGGGTGGGGGATGTGCGAGTTCTGAGCTGGTGTTGCCTGGGAAACTGGGCAGTGAGACCAGGAAGGAGAGCAGCAATGTTGGCATCTCCTGGGAGCTGGAGTCAGCACCCATCTCAGCCCCCGGAGAAACACCTTTCTGGAGATGGACAGGCCTCAGGAGGCAGCACCCTTTCCTTTGTGAAGTCAGACCTACCAGTTGGACAGGCCTTTTCTCTGAGCCTCCATTTCCTCATTAATATAAGGGGAGTAATCATGGGATCCACTACTAGGGCTGTTGTGGAAATTAAACGAAACATTGCATGTAAGTCAGCCACATAATGGCTACTTTTGTTTGAGTGGTTATGTGCTGGGTGCCAACCATAAGGTCAGCAGTTCGAAACCACCAGTCCAGTTGCAGGGAGGCAGAAGAGGCCTTCTCCTGCTGTGAAGAGTTACAGGCTTGGAAATCTGCATCCAGTTCTATGTTTCTGACGGTTGGAGGCTGCCCGAGACCCTCCCTTTGAGAGGAACAGGTTTCAAAAGTGGCTGTGGTGCCTCTCAGGTGGGCAGAGAGCTGATGAGGGACAGAGATGTGGCTAGAACTAATCTCCCATTTCTCAACCCCCACCTTTCCCTGGGCCCTCTCCTCCTCCTCCTCCTCCTCCTTCTATCATCTGCCATTCACTGGGCACTGGTTATGTGGCAGCTGTTTTATATGTGATCTCAGGCAATCCTCACACAAGGTTGGTGTGAGGTTGCTCCATCTTTCAGATGCCATGTCATTCAGGAAGTTTCTATTTATCTTCTCATCAATATCCACCCTTTATAAAATCAGGCCCCAAACTCTCCCACTCCAGAAAGTTCTCCTGGATTATACCTCCCTCCGGACTCAAATCCCTCCCCAGTAACACATCCTCTCAGGTATGAAGCCTAGACTAACAGGCAGCTCTGCAACCATTAGCCATCCGTACAAATGTATGGATGGTGGGAATGGTGGGGGCGGGGGATGGAACAATAGCCTGCTTGGAAAAGAATCTTTCCAATCCTAGTGTTAGAGAAAGTCAAAAGAACTTTTATAAGACAGTTGTAACGTGTGTGTGTGTGCCCCAACAAGGCTTTATATAGAAAAAACGAGGATGAGACTCCAGTCATGGGAACTAGGGATGACCTACCAGAGTGAGACAATAGCAAATCAACATTTTCCAAGGTTAACTGGTCTATTTTCTAACATAGCTCTCTTTCTTTTAAAAACTGTTTCATTGTGATCTGGGTGAAAGTTCGCGGAGATTTTCCATTTTCCGTTCAACAATTCATCCCCACTGGGTTCCATGACATTGACTGTTCCATGACATGGACTGTTCTATGACATTGACTGTCCTCCTCGCCTCCTCCCTGAGCGCCTGTTTCCACTTGTCCTTTTCTGTTCCTTCCTGCCTTTGGAGTTTGGTCTCTAGGAAAATGCTGCCCTTGGGATCTGGAATGGTTGATTGCTCTAAATAGGGTTTTTTACCTGGTATTACTACTCACCTTTGATCCCTGTCTAGTGTCTGGCTGCGCAGGTGACACAGTGGGTTATGTGTTGGGCAGTTTACTTCAAGATCAGTAGCTCAAAGCCACCAGCAACTCCCTGGTGAAAGAGGAATCTTTCTACTGAAAGGTTATAGTTGGGGAAACCCATAGAGGCAGGTCACTATGCATCCGTATTGACTCATTGGCAGTGAAGTTTCGGCGTGTTTGACCTCAGGCTGAGTTCAGTTCCCCCTCTCAAGGGTGGCTAAGGGCCTAGTCTTGAGTGTTCCTCCAACTTCTATCTAACCAGTGAGCATGGTCTTTTTAAAAAAAAATCATTGTATTAGGGGCTCATACAACTCTTATCACAATCCATACACACATCAATTGTGTAAAGCGCATTTGTACATTCATTACCCTCATCATTCTCAAAACATTTTCTCTCCACTTAAATCCCCAGCATTAGGTCCTCATTTTTCCCCTCCCTCCCCACTTTCCCCTCCCTCATAAGCCCTTGATAGTTTATAAATTGTTATTTTGTCATATCTTGCCCTGTCCGACGTCTCCCTTCACCCACTTTTCAGTTGTCCATCCCCCAGGAAGGAGGTCACATACAGTTCCTTGTAACCGGCTCCCTCTTTCCTACCCACTCTCCCTCTACCCTCTCTGTTTTGCCATTCACACCACTGGTCCTGTAGGGCTCATCTGCCCTGGATTCCCTGTATTTTCAGTTCCTATCTGTACCAGTGTACATTCTCTGGTCTAGCCAGACTTGCAAGGGTCGAATTCGAGTCATGGTAGTGGGAGCGGGGAGGAAACATTTAGGAACTAGAGGGAAGTTGTATTTTTCATCATTGTTACATTGCACCCTGACTGGCTCATCTCCTCCCCGACACCCCTCTGCAAGGGGATCTCCAGTGAGCCCGGTCTTTTTAATGATTTTGAGATTTATTCCACATTGACGCTCCCCTCTATATAGGACTTCTAATGCGATCCCTTTCAGGGTGGTCAATAGCAGTAGCTTCATCCTATTTAGCTCTGGCCTCGGGGAGCTGAGGTACTTTTTTTTTTTTTAATACTTTTATTGAGGGCTCTTACATCTCTTATCACAATCCATACATTCCTCCAATGTGTCAAGCACAGTTGCACCTATGCTGCCATCATCATTTTCAAAGCATTCTCTTCCCACTTGAGCCCCTGATATCCGCTCCCCATTTCTTCCCCCCCCTCCCCCGCCGACCCTGCCTCATGAACCCTTGATAAGTTATAGATTATTTTGTCCATATCTTACATCGTTCTCCATCACCCCTCACCCACTTTTCTGTTATTCATCCCCCTGGGAAGGGGGTTCTAGATTG